GTTTGACATTTGCAGTACAGCAGAAAGTGCTGTAGATACAGTCACACTGTCTGGGGACCAGGGTTGGATGTGGGGTTGGAAAGATGGTTTCCCTTGCCTGACTTCTACATTCAGTTCATTGACAGGAAATGAACCAATAACAAAAAAAGAACCCTATACCCCAACAACCCTGTATTAGGTGGTAAGTAATTCACCCATAAAAGTATAAGTGTATCTCATATCTAAGCAGTTTTTGAAACAAAATATTGATCTGAACATCAGATAATTTTTTACGTTCATTTGCTTCTCTAATCATATCACTTGTGAAAATCGTCTAATGATTTCAGAAGAATTGAGTTCCTGTAGAATCCGGAGCTGAACAAATTTACCATAGCACAAAGGCATATGTAGAAAATGCAGATTATTTCTATCCAGGCAAGCACTCAGCTGCTTCAATTTTGCCTGCCTTTAAAATATCCAGGACATAAAGTCGGAATAATGGCACAAAGATCATACTACTGCAGTGATTATCTTCACCCCCCCCCCCCATCTATAACAGGCTAGGTCTGCCTGAAACTTCAGACAGAACACAATGACCTCTATTTTTAGACAACAAATGGTTAACATGCTGCTATAGTTATTCCTCACCAAAAGTACTGTCTCATACATTTTGCTAAATTGTCTAAATCCTGGTGTGGTATTGATTTCTCTCTCTGTGAACTTGCACCCATTCAATAAGCTGCAAGAACCTCTTGTCCTGGCTGAATTTCCTACAAAGCAGGACCCAGGTATGTTACACCTGACAGTGGTCCTGCAGCTGGGAGATGACTATTAGCTTGTGGGAAACAAACAGCTGGAAACAGAGAGGAAATTTTAGGTTCAAGTGAGAAACATGACGGGGAAAGTTGCCTGAGAGGGTAAGTGGAAAAGCAGGCTCCCAGAAGCACGTAGGTTATGATCTTATTTAACCAAACAGACAAGCCCTACCACATACATCACCATGCACGTATATAGGAACAGAAACAAATCTACATGGACAGACATAGAGCGTACACACATGAACTGTGGTTATTTGGGGGTAATGTCATGTTGGTTGGTTTTTGTTTTCTGCATTCTCTGAATTTTTTTTATAATAAGCACAAATTAATTCTATCACTTGGTGAAAATCAACCTGTTCATAGTAAGGAGGAGGAGGGAGTCGAACACAACAATTTTATGACCTAACCTAATGTTATTCTTTGCTTTCAAAATAGGGAGATTTAAAAATTACCTCCAGGATTTCTTAAAAGAGCTGCTTTTTTTTATGCAGCAAGTGTTTAAAAAATACAGCATTGCAATTTATTAAGAGGATAGCTCTTATAATCCCAAGATTACATCATTATTGGGGGTAACAAAAAGATTCCTGAAGTTCTACAAAGAGAAACCCAAACATCCAGACATCACGCGCCAGAGGCCCCAGGCTGCTCCCGGTCAGGGGCCCACAGGACCACAGAGCATTGGGCTGGGCCACTAAACAGGTGCCTGGAACTTCAGAACTTTTAAATAAGCCAACTATTTATTTTTCTTACATATGCCTTAAGGTTTCCTTAAAAGAAATAGCCTATTACTTAACTATTAATAAGTGTGCATGCACATAAAATATTTGTTTGGGGTCGTTGTCCAGTTGATAGCGTTCTTGCTTTCTTGCATTATCTTGAGACTTGTTTAAGACAAGAAAATCAAAGGCCGGTCGTTCAAAGACAGAATTTCTATTATGGTGTAGTATCTTGCCTCTTAGGCTGGTTTAGTCACTTATTTCCTTTTATTATAATGCCAAATGTTATTTAGATTTCAGTCATTTAGTAACGCTACGCTGAACACATCAGGGCTTCCGAAAAATTTCATACCTACTAGTCCCTTCATTTTCATAATTGCTATCCTTTTCCAACCAAATGACACTACTATTTTAAAAAAAAATCCGTGTTTTACCAGAGTTTAAAAGATTATGATGCAACAAACAACAGTCTTCACAAATGTTCCTTTGTGTTATTAGGAATTAGGAAATCTTGTTAAAATGCCTTCAGCTTTTAAGAAACATAAGCAGCTTTGGGATGTAGTGCCTGACATGAACTTTTAAAGTAATTCCCACAGGCCGTGATCTGCATTAGCGAAGCTACTTAGTTGAAGGTAGCGCCCTGCCCCGCCTCTCGGTGTTGGAGCAGTCAGTCCAATCGCCTTTTCAGGACAAAGACTGAAAGGAACCCACCATACAGACTTTTAAAGCAAAGGAAGTGTAGTGTTCTCTGATGGCGGGGGAGACACTCTCCGCCAAGGAAGAGAAACCCTCGTAGGTGACGGTTGCAGAGGAGCCCAGGCTGTGATGGAATGTGAAAGCAGTTTTTGATTGTGCTGTTTAGCTTGGCTCAAGGAAGGCTGGCGTAAGAAACCCAAGTGAAAATTTGAATCACACTTCAACATTCAATGACAGAGCAACATTAAAGGAGATACATTATTCTAAAATCCAGAATTGAAAGAACCTCAGCTAAGTTCTCACAGTGCACCTGGAGTTGTTTTGTGCACACTGGTGCTTCAGAGAAGGCATCGGGTCTATCGCAGTTCGTATATTCAACTCGAAACTGTTGGTTTTGGCTCCAGCTTAGGATAGCTTAGCAGAACTGGCTTACGGGCTATGGGTATTTTTCTCCTCCATACTAAAGTCTCTTCTAAGTGACAAGTCACCTTTAACATGTTTGTGGAGACATCAAGCTCAATATGAATCAGCAGGTAAACCAGCTGCTCAGAAGACTTCATTCAACCTTAGGTGGCCTTGACAGAAGCATAGTAAAGGGACAGTCCCTCTGCTTTGTACCCGTCAGGATATATCTGAGGGCTCACTCAGTTCTCACGACCATATTATTAGAGGATCACCAACAAACTGAAGCCCAGCCAGGGGAGGGTGACTGGGGTGGTGAGGGTCTCAGGAGCATGTCATCGAATAATGGTGGTGGAATTAGGGCTGTCTGACCTGGAAAGGGGGGAAGACGGGGGGAGGGAGCATTTGGTGGGTCTGACTTCGCAGACCTGAAAGGCTATGATGGGAAGAAGTAAATCTGAAATGTGGTCCTAGAGGGCAGACCATAGGAGAGAAGTTACAGCAAAGTAGATTTTGGCTCTGTATTGAGGATAACTTCCTATTAGAGCTGCTCACCAGTGGAGTGGGAAGCCCTGTACTTTCCCATCAGGAGGAAGTTCCAGCAGAGACTGGAAGAATGTCTGTTGGTTTTGCTATAAAGGGATGGCTACACAGGTTGGAAGTCAGTTTATAGGAGTGTTAAAATTTCTACTTAACTTGAGAATTTGTGATTCAGGGAAAACAAAGTCCAGTCTCCTAAGTCCTTAGAGCAAGTTTGTAAACTTGAATTCTTACACACAGAGTGTTTGAGTCATGAGCAACCAAGGTTCCCCAATCCAGCCCCACCAGGAAAAAATAGAAAGCTGCTTTCAGGTGCTGCTTCTCCTGTGCCCAGGTATGACTGAAAAAGCATGTCCAGTGATCTCACTGACGTATCTATTCATTAATGTCATTAACAATATAAGAATACACAACCCCCCGCCCCTGCAAAAAAAGATTTTCCTTTTCAAATGATAAAGAATGGTCTCAAATACTCTTTCCTCATGCATAAAACTAAGCAGAGAAGGTCACTCACGATGATACAGATGATGCTCCACAAGCTACAGGTGACTTGAATGAGGAAACATAGATTGATTCCAGATAGAATTAAATTACTTCTAGAAAGGGTAAATATGTTTTTCCCTTCTGTGTTAGCAAATACACTGATTATTTCTAAGCAGGTCAAATTATTTTTTTAGAAGTATATAGAGTTAACAGTGATCTTTCCATAGACAACCTTTCCCATTTTTATTTCTACAAAATGCTTTTGTGTTGGGCATCTATCTGGAAACAACACAGCGAGTAAAACGCAGGCATCTTTAGAGTGCAAAAATAATGTCCTAAGTAAGCAAATAAAACTTTGCACTTCAAATCAGGCCTCAATTCATTAAAAATCTTAAACTTCTCATGAGAAAAATTAACATTTAAACCAGTGCTGCTTGGCCAGGCACTCCACCACACAAGAATATGAAATATCTCCTCTAAAAAAGTACAAAAAGGACAAAACCACAAATGTGGAACTTCAATTAATTTAAAGCCCCAATCAGCAAAGAATAAATCCTTCGCAGATCTAATTACCAGCGCTCTCGGAAGACCCAGGCCGACCAGCCAATCTTCCCCGTGTTTGAACAGCTTGATGAACTAGGGGACTGATGGATATCAAGTCATTTTGTTTAATTTATAAATGGATTTTCCCCTAATACTTAAATTATCATCAGTACAACACAATGAAAATGGGAACATTCTGAATGCAAAGTCTATAAGAGTCCTGGAAGGAATCCCAATGAGGGATGTCACCTCTGCTCATTCCTCTGTACAATTGATCTAATTAAATACTGAGGGTAGAAAGGCAGTTTAAAATGTAGCCATTTCTGTTTTCTTTTTAGCCTTAATTTATCTGTTCACATCTTTCAAGTACCTCCTGATACTTAAAAAAAAAAAAAAAAAGGAATCGAGATTTCTGCTAGTCCGTAATACTTTTAATTCTCTGCAAGCTCATATTCAAAAGTCTCTGCCATAGACTTTGCTGCATAATAACTAAATGCAATACATTTAGCCATGGAAACAATAAAAGGAAGAGGGCTTTCCAAATCTGAACCTTTTCTGCCCAGTAATTTGACAGAGAAACTAAAGGAAATAGTACCTTTTATATGTATTGTTCAACTGAAATTAGATCTCTGGATTATACTTATTAAAATGTCTCCTTATTTTCAAATCTCTTCCTTATTTAATTATGGCATGGGACGGAAAGGTGCATGGAATTGTTAAATACCATTAAACCTATTTATAGTCTCCTCACACTGGCAACTTGTGTGAAATCATTGGCAAAGGTCCTGCCCACCGACCCACACATTGGGATTGCAATTCCCACCTGGCTCGGGGGTCTCTGACTGGGAGGAGGAAGATGCTGAGCTGGCTCCGTCCTCAGTGGTACCCTGCGAGAGCAGACCCCGCCCAGGTGGGAGCTTCATGCCCAGCTGCTCTGCCATCTCCACGTGGTCCCCGGGGTGGACATAGTCAAAGACGCTGCTGCCTGTCAGCTCCACCTACAGGGGAAGAGAGAGTGGGAAAGAGGTGTCACAGGCTTTTATTTCCATATTCAGCACCACTGTGATTCAGATTCTGAGCAGAAAAGGAAATATACGAGGAAATACACCCAGCCCCAAGAAACAATCCTGGTTCTAAGGCTTTATTCTTACTCAAAAGCTTAAGGATTCTTGAAATTGAAAGAGAAAGATTTTTTTCACATGTATTTATTTAGCAATTGTTTAGGCCGGTTTTTTTTCTCAGACACTGTTGTTTGCATAAAGCCAACACATTCTGTGAAATGTGGATGAGTCTGCCTGGAGCTCAGCTCTTTTATCCACGCATCATCAAATGCTTTCATGTTTGGTGTCAACTGGATGATTGACTGAATTCTACAGTTTTCTCATTGAGAAGTTTGGGCTTTGGACAGAAATAGCCAGAGATAGCAGCTGAGTATTTTCCTTAAAGCACACAGGGTTTCAAGATGCGTATTTTTATGTACCAGCTTATTTTTATGTAAATGTAAATGGAAGAAGTGCTGCTTGCAAATATATGCAAAGGCATAATGTTTTCATTAAATATTACTCATTAGCTCTGTAATCATATGGAGAATTTTCCATGCAAAAGAGGTCAGCTGGGGTCTGAAGCAGCCATTTTGTTTTTCTGCTGGTATCAGCTTGTTTTGCCTTCGATCTAATAAAATTCATGGTACGCATCTCCTTGAGGGCTTGAAAAATATTTTATTTTGTATACTCTTCCTACTAGGCTGACTCTGAAGGTAGAGAATGAACATGGAATATCAGAGGGGGCTCGGCCTGAAGTGGAAGCAAGGCCTGGTTCAATGGCGTGTCTGCCACGGCCGGCGGCTGGGTGCCATGTTGTCTAAGGAGGTGGAAGTTGCTGATAAGGACTGGCTTTACCTCTGTACTCTTCTGATGCTATAACTCTTACCTGCTTCCAAGAATAGCAATAATGCTCCTAAAATAGTGTACTGGGGTTATAGGTACCATGACAGGGAGAGATGTAATCAGCAAGGGAACAAGTAAATGCTCCTTCCTGGGGCACTGATGCATTTCCCAGTCCTCTGGTGTTCTGAATGCTTTCAGGACAGCTACGATGGATGTACCACACAACTGGCGAGAGGTTCTCGTCAGTTTCTTGGTGGATATTTACCTAAAACCTCTGCCTACGTACCTGCCTTTCCTGTGTAATTTGCATCATCCCTCCAAATTCCACCTGAATGCCTGAATTCTTTCTTCTGTCAAGAAGGAAGGCTGTCACAAGGAGCCTAATGCCCAGACAGCAGTCAGTATCCCCAAGTCCCCGCAAAATGATCACATCTACTCCCAGACGCCATTTGACTAAAATCTTAACAGGCTACACATCTTCAACACGTATCAATTAACAAGGATATAGCCAGAAAAACGGGAGGCTAAATTCAGTTCGGTTAATAGCTATTCCTGAAAAAGGCTCGCATAACTTTTACCGAAAATGAGGTACTTTCTCTCTGCTATTAAATTACACTCTCCTACTGTATTACCCTACTACTGACTTTATCATTTTACAATAACTATTTCCTCCATTTGATATTGTTATAGAGGGTAAATCAGAATTCAGAAGTGATCAGTTCCTACCCTCTGGGAGGGAGGGATTACACGGAAATAATCCCTTTAATGTGCGCCTTGCCTCTAAGCATTTCACACAGCAGTAAATGGGTAAGCTGACTTTGAGCAATTAGGAAATGAAATGAAACTAATAAAATGTGTGTTTTAATATTTCTTGATGGTTATTTTGTTTGGGGATTAGTGAATATGAAGGACCTACTTTCATTTTGCATGGACTCTGAGTGTGCCAATTTAATAAATATTTCTGTCACTTTTCTCAAACTCCGAGTGTTTCTTTCATACTGAATTATAGCTTTTCGCATAGAGCACAGATTGTGATAAGATGACAACACAGGTGAGTTACACAATAGAGGCTTAGGGGTCCTGGTCACTGAGTATTCGTGTACGCCCGTCTTATGGAGAGAAAGAGTAGGTCACCATCTCCACAGCTTGCTTTGCTTGGATGTGCAGGCATTGCCTTCCCACAAAATAATGTCCTGAGTACAGCACATCAAGAATAAGACTCAGTCACAATGTGCCATATCACACTACGGCACAGTGAGGAATTTCTCCTCCAATGATCTCACAGAATCCTGAGGTCCAGACACCCTAAAGTCTAATATTGGGTAGAAAGGTTGGCACCGAGAACTATACCCTATCACAGTTTTTATGATGATTGTAGTCAAGGTCACACAGTGTATGGAAAAGCACAAAAATACTTAGTTATAACCTCACTTGGACATCAGAATCTTTTTCTCCTCTGCTGTGTGACCTGGGCAACTCACTTAACCGCTCTGGGCTTCAATTTCCTATTCTGAAAGGGGGCAGTATTTCTGTTCTGCAGGACACTGGAGGAGGGTTGCACACTATGTGGATGGCATCCCCTGGGCTGTTACTCCATGGGAACGATTCAAGGCAGCAGCAGTCTGAGAGCTGAGATGAAAACAAAACTTGCTTTACCTGCCTTGAAGCCTAATTTTGCAAATCCAGTGAAACCTTGCATAAGAAATCACTTTGTGAGAAATAAGCAGTACAAAAATGCCTGCTGTTGTTGATGCTGTTCGGCAGATAACAATGGATGACACACAGACATACATATTTCTGTTTAACTTTGGTGACTTCTTAGGGTTTGTGCGGCCACTTTTGTCAGCAGGGGGCGCAGCAGAGGTGATTTGTGCTTAGAACGTCAGCTACACCAATAACAATGTTAGCAGCTACCTACCACTACATACCAGAGCACCGCCCAATCAGCTCCACAAGTGACACACCTGGACGGTGAACTGGGCTGGCACCAGAGCCCCACAAGGGACTCCTGCAATATGGGATCATTCCCTGCACACCTCTCTACTACAGTCAGGTCTCATAGCCAGTAAGCCTGAAGGTCAATCCCACCTCCTGAGATGCCAACAGCAATCAGGTATCAACTATAACAGGAAAGCACATGCAATGCACACAAGTAACACACCTGGAATACCCAGCTCAGGTGACTAGGTAGACTAAGTACCTAGGCCTCACAGGACACCTATTACATAAGACCATTCTGCCAAAACTGAGAGACATAGCAGATCTACAAAATACATAGAAAAAAAACAGGGAGGCAGCCAAAATGAGGGGGCAAAAACAGAACAAAACACATGTCTCAAATGAAAGAACAGAGCAAAACTCCACAAAAAGAACTAAACAAAATGGAGATGAGCAATCTGTCACATACAGAGTTAAAAACACTGGCTAGAATGATGCTTAATGAATTTAGAGGAAGAATAGATTAACTCAATACTTCAACAGAGTCAGCAAACACAAAAAAAGAACCAGTCAGAAATGAAGACTATCATAACTGAAATGAAGAAAGCATTAGATGGAATCAGTGGCAAATCTGATGAAGCAGATGATCAAATCAGCAATTGGGAAGACAAGGTAATGTAGAACACCCACTTAAAACAGCAAAAAGAAAAGAGTTTTAATAAAATGAGGACAGTTTAAAGGAGCTCTGGTACAACTATGTCTATCTCCCCAGGTAATGGAAACAAAACAAAACAAAACAAATGGGACTACATCAAACTAAAAACTTTTTGCACAGCAAAGGAGAATATCAACAAAATGAAAAGACAACCCACAAAATGGGAGAACGTATTCACTGATACATCTGATAAAGGGTTAATACTAAAAGTTTATAAAGTACTTAAAAAACTCAACACTAAAAAACAGACAAAAAACCCAACACAATTGAAAAAAATGGGCATAAGACCTGAATAGACACTTCTTCAAAAAGGACATACAGATAGTCAATAGACATATGACAAGATGGTCAATGTCACTAATCATCAGAGAAATGGAAATTAAAACCATAATGAGATATTATCTCGAATCTATCAGAATGGCCACCATCAATAAATAAACAAACAACATATGCTGGCAAGGATGTGGAGATTGCTGAAGCCAGTGTGGTAAGTAGTATGGAGATGCCTTAAAAAATTAAAAATGGATCTACCTTTTGACCCAGCAATCCCACTTTTTAAAATGTATCCAAAGAAACCCAAAACATTAATTTGGAAGAACATAAGCACCCCTATGTTCTCTGCAGCAGTATTTACAATACTGCTGACACCAAGATATGGAAGCAGCCCAGTGTCCATCATTAGATGAGTGGATAAGACAACTATAGGACATTTACATAATGGCATGCTACTTGGTCATAAAAAAGAAGAAAGTTTTACCCTTTGTGTCAGTATAGATGGACCTGGAGAACATTATGGTAAGTGAAGTAAGCCATCAGAGAAAGACAAGTACCATATGATTTCACTCATATGTGGAATCTAGTAAACAAACTGAACTAACAAGGAAAATAGAGACAGAGCAGTAGATAGAGAGCTGGATGACAGCTAATGGCGGGAAGGTAGAGTGTAGGGGTGGAGGGACTGAACGAAAAGGGAAAAGGACACATGGACATGGACAACAGTGTGTTATTTTAAGGGGAAGAGGAAATAAAGGGACTAAATGTTAATGGAAAATATAAAATAAAAATGTAAAAGAAGAAAAAAGAAAAGACACACAGATTAAAAATAAACAGATAGAAAAAGATATTTCATGCAAATGAAAACAAAAATAAGTTGGGGAGGTAATACTTAAGACTAAACGGACTTTAAGACAAAGGTATAATGAGACAAAGAAGGACATTACATAATGATAAAAGGATCAATTCAATGTGAGTATATAACCCTTATAAACATTCACACACACAATGTAGCAGCACATAAATATATAAAACAAATGTGAATGGACATGGGAGATGACATTGACAGTAATATAGTGATAGGAATGGACATCAATACCCTGCTGACATCAATAGATAGCTCATCCAGACAGAAAATCAACAGAGAAACAGCTGCCTTAAATGACACATTAGACCAGATGGATTT